AACCCATCAGACCACACCGGCAACAACCCATCTCCACCGCCGTTCAAATCTTCTCCACCGCCCCCAACAACCTCGACCCCAGCCTCCCTGTTCGGAATCCCCAGCTCATCGTCAGATGCTTCCAGCAAATGCCTTATAACATCCTCCTCATCTTTCAACAAATTAGAAGAAGACGAAGAACAACTGGCGGATCTGTAGTCTTCTACGGTGGTAGCCGCCGTAGCCCCGTCAGTATCCACGGTTGTTGAACCCGGAACAAGACCCGGTACAGATTCCGACGAGAGCTCTTGCTGTAAGGATGTGATTAGGGCGGATAAATCTTGGGTGGGTTCATCTTCTTCGGACTCAAGCAAAGAAAGTATATGATTAAATGATTTCTGTCGCTTCACTTCCTCTATTTCTTCTGGGATATAAGTTTCTTCTCTCTGACGTTTCACCGGCGTTTCTGCCATTATAGCCCCAAGATAGCAAGAAACGTCGCCAAAAAGCAGAAGAAAACAGAGATAAGAGGATGGAGAAGAAGACAGAAAATGAAGGTAGAAGCGTGGGATGAGGATGAGGAGAGAGGAGGGATGGAAAGGGTTATATAGAAGGGAAAGGAAATTGGAGGTCCGGACAATATGAGGGCGAAATAAAGAAACCCAAGATTATGAAATGTATAAAAATGAAAGGAATATTTAATTTCAGTTAAAAGCAAGAAGGATGCTTAATCAACTAAAGCAAAGAATGAGAAGATTTTAAAAATAAGGTAATTTTTAATTCGCGCCGTAAGGAATGGATAAAGATATATTTAATGTATTTTTTAATTATTAAATTGTATAAAAATTATGAAAAAAATAAATATTAGCCTTGATTTTTTTTAAAAAAATTAAAATTTTAATTTTAAATTATATCATTTTATTTAATTATAACTTAATTTAAAATTTAAAAATTAATTAAATTTTTTAATTTTAAATTGAAATTTCAGTTTTTAAATATAGATAATAATTTTACTTTTTTTGATAATCGAATTAATATGCATGAATCTCAAAAGTTATTGTTTAAAAAATTATTAAAAATTAAAATAAGTTATATTAATATTAAAAGTGATATTAATTTTTTATTTTTTGTATATTTAATGACTAAAAATATATTAATTATATTATTAATTTGTACTCTTTGAACAAGTTTTAAAAAAATTTTAAAAATAAATGGGTTTTGAATACAAGTAGCGACAATTTTTTTTTTTCCCAATGGAAAAAAAACTAATTAAGTGGTAATTTTTTCAATTATTATTCATATAATATATTAAATGTTCATTTAAAATTTATATTTAAAAATTTTAAAATCAAATTAAATTTATTAAAAATAAATAGAGGGAGTATTTAACATTTATTATTATTTTTTTTGAAACAAAGTGTCATGGTGGGATTCGAACTTTGAAACCACCAATGGAAGGGGGACTGCACCTTTAAGGTGATTCGAAAGTCATTTGATCCAAAAGATCAAGTGTAATATTTAATTTTTTGTTTTACTAAAACAAGTGATATTATATTTATTAATTTGTCTAATAATATATATTATAAATA